ATCTAGGGGTGGTGGTGTTCTGAGGACTAAGTTATGGTATGTGATAAGTACTTAGTAAATATCATTTGATAATTCAACTTTGATTTCCTATCCTCTTCTAGGATTGCCACAAGCAAACCTGAGACAAAGATTTATGTAAAAGCAGTTTACTAAGGAATTTATCAGATGAAAAAATGGTAAGTGGGTAGAAGAAATAAAACAAAGTGGGAACATGATGACAGGCAGAGTCCACACAGGTCACATCAGGCTGACTCACAGGGATCTCTAGTACACTTAAGAAGATGTGTTAGCCAGAGTCACGAGCACTCATATTCCAGACCTGAGCACTGCAGAAGGAGCTATTTTTCTGGTGTTTTGAATAAAGCAGCTTCATTACCACAATGTCCATTCTCTATATGGGTAGGGAGAGGAGTCTGCATACTGGAACGTAAAAGAGATTTGAAGAGATTAGGGTAGAACACATCTCATGATATAACTAACAGGGCACAATATATCCAAACATACCCAGTGTAAGACAGGTAAATGTGGGTGTGAATCCTTTCCTGGCTAATCAAATGTGGATACTTGATTAAACATCTCTGAGTCTGTTTTATTGTTTGAGAAAGTAAATAGTGATACAAATTTCAAAGAGTAAGGGAAAATTAAGTAACTGAGAACTGTTAGACTAAGGTAAGCTTAGCAAATATTTGTTCTCTGTAATTGTTGCAAGACCACAACAGTATACAATGAACACATTGTGCAAATCAGAAGGAAGAATTACCCTTCAGGCAAACCCTATTTCAGGCAATTTTATTCTAGGTCTTTTCATCCTTCCGATTATATGAAAAGAATACAAGAGTCAATGTTACAGTATTTCTGTGGCAGCAACTAAGTTTACAGCTACTAAGAAAACAAAATGGTGCCCTGTACTCAGAGGACAGCAATGGAGCAACCAAGGAGAATCAGAATCGAAGGCATGATCAACCAGAGCCATGAAATGGGGTCACCCTTGGATAAAAGTCAGGATCTGCTGTCTGTTCTGCCATTAAGTCAGCTACTATTCTTGGACCTCAGTGTTCATGCCTACAAAGCAGTTGTAGTTGTTCTGATTTCTTTCAAGCATTATTCTCTTACTGTGTGGATCTCCAGAGCCTCATTTCAATCCCAACTCTTGATGATCTCCATGCAGAGGACAGGACTGGGGTGACTTCCCTTTGTCATAGAAAAGGTAGAGGAATGCAAAGAAGGGATACAACAGGCTGGTTGCTCAGGAAGACTTCACAAAATAGAACCCTCATTAGAAGTGAACGAGAAAGCTTATTAGGAAGATGAATGTGCACAGGGCTGGAAAGGTAGCTCAGCTGTAACGCATGCTGATGCTCTTGCAGAAGACTTGGGTTCAGTGCTTAGAGCTCACAATGCAACTCCAGTTCCAGGATTTCCAACATCCTTTTCTAATTTCTGCAGGAACCAGGCACATACATGCTTCAGGCACAACATTCCTGCACGTAAAATAAAAATAAGGGTTAGGGTGAATCTTTTTTTTTATTTTATTTTTTTTATTTAATTTTATATAACAAAGTCCAATTAAATGAAAACAAACATTTATACACAATATTTGGGAATTTGGGCGTCGTTCTTTCCAAACTACTTCCTGCTGGTAAGGGGCGCTGTCATGGGGGATTCGAAGAAGCTTCAGATATCCTGGCTGTAGTCTGTAGGGCTGTTTTGTCCAGCTGTTTTGAATGTAGGATCACCTTGTACTCTGTTTCAGGCGGTCTGGCATGATCAAACCACATTAGTCTAGAAGGAATCCACATCTTTTCATTTTCTGTGGAAACAAAAATAGAAATCCTTTTCCCCAGTAACTTGTCCTTCAACTTAAATTTTGGAGTCAAAGCATTTTTTTTAATTTAATTTATTATTTTACATGTCGATCCCAGTTCCCTCTCCCTCCCTCCCCCCAACCCTCCCTCCCTCCTACCTTCTCTTTTACCCTCTCTGCCCTCTCACATGCACTCTAACCACCCTCCCCTCCCATCCCCCCACCCCAATTCCATATGTAGGGGAATGCCATCCAGTTGGGGTCATGTAGATCTGACAGGTCCTGTGAAGTAGGGACTAGGGCTTCTCTCCTGTCTCTAGATTAAGGCAGTTATCCCTCCATGGGGGATGTATTTGCAAGGTCCTTTTGTACACCAGGGCTACATCCTGGCTCCACTGTCTGAGGTCTCTTAGACTGCTCAGTCCTTCTGGCTGAGACCCATATTCAGGGGAGCCTGAGTCAGTCCCATGCTGGCTTCCCAGCTATCAGTCTAGTGGCCGTTAGCTCCTCCTTGTTCAGGTAAGCTGTCTCTATGTGTTTCTGCCACATGGTCTTTTTAAAGCATATTTAAGCAATTAATAATGACAAAAAAGAAACTTCATAAAATGTGAATAGACTGTTTCAACAGGAGGAGACATTTCTTATTGATAATATTAGGGAATAAGACCAGAAATTGTGAGATGGGAACAAATTACAAAGAGTTCTGAATAGAGAGTACGTCATGTGCAAAATGCCAAAGTATAGATAAGCTTTTGAAGAATTTGAGAAAGGAAGAACAATACTGTACCAGGTAATTTCATGAAGGGTAAGACAAACAGGACATAAGAATGCCACCCTGCCCAATTATACACATGAAAAAGACCTTGCAGTTTGGGGATTTTGTCCCCCTCAGTTAACTCTGGAGAAAACAGTTGACCAGAGCAGAGTTCTAGGAGGAAGATGAAATGGAATCACATGCATCACTCCACCATTACTCAGAGAGATGGGAAAAGGCTCCCTGTGTTTGTTATTAGAATCCAGAGCTCTGGAAAAAAATATGCTCTTCACTTTGGTGGGGTGTTTGTGGGTTTGAGTGAAGGATAAAGAAAGAACTTCCATACTACCTCATAGCACAGAAGTTGATTAGAGTTCCAGGAATTTAAAAATCCAATAAAGAGGCAGAAGAGAACAAAGACCTGGGGGGGGGGGGGCAGTCTGGACAATCAGTAAAAAGAAGGGGCAACATTTCGTGTTAGCTTTCTCAGTGAGGAAGCTAAGCCTTACACAATAAAGCCTGACCTACTTACAGCCCAAATTAAATGGTGATTAAGTTATGACAACTAAAATCCAGCACCTCCTTCAGAAGGAATTTCTTCCAGGAAATAAAAGTGAATTCCTAAAGACCTAAACTATAATTCAAATTTTCTTATCCCAGAGAAATTGCTGTTTCTCTTTTAACATGTGACTAACCTTTATCTTTAAAAGTCAAGGTGAGGGACCCCCTAGGCAAACATGGTAACCAATAGCTCTGACTCTCCCTCAAGATTTACAAGTAAACAAAAAATTACCAAAATGAAACAACATACAACAACAAAACAAACAACAACAAAAACACAGTAGATCTGTTTTGGATGTTGACCAACCTTATTTTTTATTTTCATGTTTTGTTTAGAGAAAGAAAGAGAATAAAGTTGAGTCAGGAGAAGATAGGAAGAATATGGGAGGAATTGTGGAGAAGGAAAGCATACGATCAAGATATATTGTATGAAAAAATAAATAAATAAAACTTGATGTTGTTCACCTGAAGTACCAATGAAGAACCTAGAATGAAATGTTTTTTAAAAATCTAAAAACTAATACCTCTGAAACTTTGAGTTAGACCGAATCCATAATTACCAGTTAAAGCAAGCTTTATTTAATACTTGCCAGCAAGATGGACACTGGCCAGATCAATACCAGGGATTCTCAGAAACGGCACTGGATTATGTTAGTCATGTGCTCATAAAGGCAGAACCCATGAGAGTTCTCCCCTGGTCGTCCAATCAAGGGTGAGCGTGCATCCTGACATACTTCCTACCTATGTACCTCCTGCCTACCGTGATCAAGCACATCCCGTGTAGTGGAGCAGCCATCCTTATTCACAGGAGTGGAAACATGTGACTTGAGATCTCACATGAACAACAGCCCCCAGCACTACAGGAAGTTATCTGTCCTTGGGCAAGTGGGGTTTACAGGTTAACTCTTAGCCTTTGCAGTATATTCCTGGCATATTTTTTTTCTATATGGAGAATAGAAGGAAACTTTTTATGATAGATTAGATATGGGAAAGTAAAATTCAATTTCTTTTATGGTTCTTCAAAGAAAATTAGTATGATCTAATAAAGTACCCTAGCAGAAGACAGCGTTATTAACAAAATAAAGATACGTTGTTTAGCTAAAATGGCCAAGTGTCAAGCCTAAAATTAGGGATCAGGGACCAGTTCAAGGGGCCCAACACTTCCTAGCCTAACTACTGGCTATTGATGAGTTCTCAGGAGGGGCAGTCATTGTCTTTAGTTGTGTACCACTGTTGAGCCCACAGAGTAAACATTGTATTATGTACACGTATGAAACTTTCAAAGAACAAAATTAGCTAATTAAAAGACAATAAAAAGTCTATTGTCTACTCCCCTCAACAGGGACCAGCTAAGTATGATATAAAAAGGCAAATTCTATTCTTTTTTTTTTTTAACTAGGAATGTTATTTATTTGTTTATTCTAATAACTTGGAATAATTTTCTTAGATTTATCAAACTCTTGTCTTTGATTTTCAAGCTTATCCTCCCTAACTTTTTATTTATACCGCTGAGGCCACAGTCTACATTATAATCAAATTACTCTTTAAAATGGAGAAAGAACTTTAGCACTGCTTTTTCATTTTATTATGATTTCATTTTCAGAGCCAATTCTATAGAAAGTACAAAGTCTATGTGTATATTTAGGAAATTAACTAAAATTGGGAAACAACATATTATGCCTGAAGAAGAAATTGTGTTATGTGTTTCATAAAACTTCTGATCACTTCAACCATTACTAAACAATAAAACTATTACTAAACAATAAAACTGGCCAAGCGTTTTTCATACATGAACATTGACCTTTACACAGCCAACAGGTGATTTGGGGAAGTATATATAGACCTGGCAAGAGATACAGAGAAAGCAAAGCCGCTGATCACCCAGGCAGGAGTGATGGGGCTTCCCAAGGGTTTTGTTTTCCTCCTGCTCCTGTACCTGCTTCAGGGGTCAGACACTTCCTTAGTAAAGCTGATTGAGAATGGTTATGAGGACGTTATTATTGCTATTGACCCTGCTGTGCCAGAAGATGAAACAATGATTGAACGAATAAAGGTAAGAAAAGTGAGCTTTCTTCTGTTCAAGTTATGAAGAACAAAAAGGTTAATAGCAATCATAAGAGTGACTACAGAAATCTCTGAATGCTTTGGTAAACTTAAAGACCATGTAGACACAGTTTTGGAATGCACAGAGTAAGATGGCAGTTCTAAAATGCTCTAGGAGGTTCTAGAAGGGACTCTACCTTCTAAGCCATAAGATTCAAGTCAAATTATAGACCTTTGTGCTCTTGTTTCCTTGTGTGTAATTTAGAAGTTGGACTCCTTCTATTTCTGTAATCTATTTATTAATTGTGTGTGTGCACACATGTATGTTTATTTTATCCTTGAAGAAAGAGTAGTAAATTAAAATAATGAACTACAGAGTATGTATTCTTTTTCAGAGTCATTACTAATGTCAAAGTGAGTGGCATAGCAGATATGACATTGGTAGGTTGCTGTGGAGTATAAAAGTCAGGAAAGGGTGACATTTGAGTAGACCCCAAGATGAGTAAGAGAAGAGATGTGAGCTTCATGGGGATGATAGCATCTTCTGTGATCAAGAAAGCAAGTGAATAAGCAGGAGGAAAAGGGGTTCAAACAAAGCTGGGATAAGGCTACGTGCAGTGGCAGAGCTCGACCACCAGAAAGGACATTTTCCCTCTGAGTAAAAGGAGACCCCGTAAAAGAGATCTTAGTGGCAGTCATGTACACCTTGGTGCCTATTCTAGGACCGTTCTAACTATCTAAAATCATAGAAGGCTTGCACTTATCATATCCACTGTAGGAATCTTGTGTGTAGGGGTACAGATTCCACGCTGTAGCTGGTGAATAGAGATGGTGATTAGGACAATGAGGTGTCAGGAATGATTAAAGTGCATGACTCTAAGTGTATTTTGAAAGTACCAAAGACAACCTTTTTGTTGGTTTAGACATGCATGGCAAGGGGAAGTGGGGAGGAGATGTTAAGAGGCAAGGGAAAAGTCATAACTTTGGCTTAAATACTTGGGTAGAACTTCCATCAGCTAGGAAGGAGGAAAACTCTAAGTAAGAAAAAGCTAGACCAGTCTGGGGAGTGGGGAGAAATTAGCATAGGGAAGTTTCAGATTGAGCTGCTTTTTAGACATCCAGGATGAAGAGACAGGGATCTGAACCCAGAGTGAAATGTAAATGTGTGCTTAGATAAAAATTAAAGTCTATCAGTACGGAGAGGATATGGATCTACCAGATGGCTGCCAACAAAGGAAGAGCCCAGTCACTAAACTGAGAACTTTGGTTTGCTGAAATTTCTTCCAACTCTAACATTCCATGTGAACATTGGCATTACAGTCACCTTTCATATTTCCAGTAGCAGTATCTACAACTTCTACTACTTGTCTTCAGTTCCTCCCCACTGGGAGTCCTAATGCTTGATGTTGAATTCCCTACTGGGTGTGAACTGTACTGCCTCTGATGGTTTCCTTTGACTTCAACTTATCATTCATTATCTGGAAACTAAAGGCAGACCAGAGGTGATATTACTAGTACCCTTTCAACTCTAAAAGATAATGATTACTTTTTCTATAGCCTATGAAGAGCAAACTCTGGATGATAGATTTTGGTGTTCAGGGGTAAAGGATCAGTTTCAATCTTTTTTGAATTCAGAAAAAGGTATTTGATAGGACTATTTTTAGAGGCAAAAAAGTATACTTAGCATGGTCTTCTATTGAGCATCACAAGTAGAAATTCAATTCTTTGCCAACATGTCTACATTTAGTGTTTCTGGACATGTGGCCTTTTTATAAAGTTCTGTTGCATCAGGCAATTTTGCAAGCTACCATCATCTACTTACTACACAATGATTTATGCAAAACTCTTATAATTCATGGCCTGATGTTCTCCATTTTCAAGTTTCCTTTGCATGTTATATTTGCATTCATGTTCCTTCTGGATGAAACATGACCACTTTTACAAACACTGATATTTCACTTTTTTTAAATCTCAAACATTATATGAATTTGGGGAAGAAGTTTAGAAGGACTGTCATAAGTTAAACATTGTTAGAAAACTCTGAGGAACCATTTTAGGCACCTGGGGTATCTCTGGAGATGACAGTCACCTATGAGTTTCTGACATCTCTTCATGACCCAAGAATACACTGCTAGCTAAGATAGCCAGTTGGACCATGGATACTCTAAAGGAAATGCTGCCCTTTGGTGTTATATAATATACAACCTACATAGTTGACCACAGCAACTACTTCAATCGAGAACTCATATTGAACCATCAAAACATTGTTGTCTCCTATGTACAAAGAGCCTTCTCTTCCAGCAGACCATGACAGATGAAATATATCTCTTTAACAAAGGTGGGGGGTCTTTTATCTTCCTTCCGTGTGTGCTGAACAACTTCCAACTTGCTTTAGAGTTCTTCTTGTACTGGACTGTCATTTCTCTGGACTCTGGCCTTCTGAGTCATCTCATGACCACTCACCAGTCAATTTGATGAATTCTTGCAACGCATATGAGTCAGAACACTGGAGTGTCAGAGTTGAAAGGAGGAAAGATGAGAACTTGAGGAGCAGCTCTGATGTGTTAAAGCTGGAGGCAGCAGAGTCTGTCCTGATAGATATAGTGGGGCAGACTAAAATGGCTCCTAAGAGAAGATGATTTACTTTTACTATTTTTCTTTATTTTACATTTATTTATATTTTACTTACCACTGAGAGCCATGGGTGTAAGAAACAGGCCACCTTAAGTGCTTTTCCACTCATTGTTTACCTTTGTTAGACAATAACTCTGTGAAGAGAGAAATTCTGTTCTAAATCACAGTAACTTTGGACTCCAGATAATGGGAACAATTGGGTATTTTCATTTTGGTAATAGAGCAACAATTCTGAGCTATAGAATTTTCTGCCACAACCCTCACCAAGTGTCCAACCTCCCCACCTCTTCTAGCAATATGGAAAGAAAGCCCCATCCTGATGATGACTCCTGTGGGCTATTATACTCAGCTTGCATCTGTTAAAGCTGTCGTGACTCAAGTTTCTTGAAGTCGGGAATGACATCAAACAGTCTTAGAATACTTCTTAGCTCATTCCAGATTAACATTCACTAAAGAGTAAGGTAACTGGGCTTCAGAGAATTCTGTAAGTCAACCAGAAAGTGGTAACACAAATATTAGAATCAAATAAATGACTCTAAAGTATACATCCATATGAATCAACTAGTGTAATCACCAAGTACAAGCGGCTAGCAATCTTTTGAGATGAGAAGACAGAAGACTTGGAAGCCTTTCCAAGTGCAGTGTAAAGCAAGTTTTGGATTGACAGGTTACAAGTATGGACGGGACCACTGATGAATGAATGGTATTGATGAATGGTCACTTTTATAGTAACTAGTTAATGGAGACTGCCTGAGATGGGTGCCTACTACTTGCCACAGTTCTCGCTTGGCCATTTCTGTAAGAATTCAAGCATTATGCTAGCCTGTCCCTGACACCTGGAAGAATGCATTTAGGCAGCACTCTGGTCAGCCCAGGGTTCCATGGAGTACTAGTCTGCATGAAGGCGCAAAGAGCCCCTTTAAAAGAAGGCCCCCACCTACTTATGCTCTCCTTCTGTTCCGTTTCCGGCTCTTCTTTCTCTCCCCTCCCCTCTCCTCTTCTTCCTCTTCCCCTCTCCCTCCCCCTTCTCTCTCCTCCCCTCCTCTGCCCTCCCCTCTCTTCTCTCCTCTCCTCTCCTCTCCTCCCTTTCTGCTCTTTTCCAGCTCTCTTCCCTCTCTCTTTTCCTGCTGCTCCCCTGGGGGCAAACAGGACGTTTCCTGTCTCCTTCTTCTCTTCTGTTTTCCCTCTGTGTCTCTTTACCTCTTTTCTCTTTCCTTCCCCCTCCCTCCCCTTTCTAATAAAACTTCTCACTTAAGCTCTGTCTGCCTGGCATGTTTGTCCCTCCACCTAGGTCACCCTTGCCTGCCATGGTCCCCCACCCAAGGACCCCCTTCAGCTTTATCCTATCAATTTCTACATGTCCTTTTCCCCCTTGACAATAGGAAATGGTGACTACGGCGTCTACATACCTGTTTGAAGCTACAGAAAAAAGATTTTTCTTCAAAACTGTGTCTATATTAATTCCTGAGAGTTGGAGAAACAGACCTGAGTACAGGAGACCAAAACAGGAGAGCTACAAACATGTAAGTGTCAATTTTTTTTCTAACAACAACAAAATGGAATGTTTTCTGCTGCTTACTAGTTTTGCCACAGATTGACTGATCAGAGTCTTTCTACCTTGTTTCTTCTGTCTTCAAATTCCAATGACCTTTTTACACTTTCTCAGGCAGATGTTAAGATTGCACCTCCTATTCTGGAGGGCAGAGATGAACCGTATACCCGGCAATTCACAAACTGCGAAGAGAAAGCAGAATACATCCATTTCACTCCTGACTTCATACTGGGGAAAAAGGAAAATGAATATGGCCCTTCAGGTGGGGAATTTGGTTAAAACATTACGTGCTTGCAGTAAGCAATTCTATATTCAAATTAAATAAACAGACTTTGATTCAACATGCTGTGGAATTAAAAAAATAGTATGTGTGAGAACACTTAATACAAACTCCTTTTATAAACAAAACATAAGATTTAAGAGTTACAGAAAATCCTAACCTAAGTGTAACCTCTGTGTGTCTTGGGGGTCAGAGGACAACTTGTGAGTCAGTTCTCTCTCCCTACCACAAATAACAGGATTGAACCCAGGTTGTTAGGTTTGCTGGCAAGCATTCTTACCCAATGAGTCATCTCACTGACCCACAATGATTTGAGATATAAAATTTTCCACTTGAATTATGATCATGTATTTGAAAAAAAAAAATCTTTCTTGTAGGAAGAACACTTGTCCACGAATGGGCCCACCTTCGCTGGGGAGTATTTGATGAGTACAGTGATGATAAGCCATTCTACAGGACTTCGTCAAAGAAAATCGAAGCAACAAGGCATGACTCCTAAGTATCCTGAAGTGACCTTAAAAATGGGTTTTTAACTGCCCTATATTACTTTCCAATAACAAGCATCCATTTTTGTCCCAATGCAAATAACAGATGTCGTATCATGAGCCTATTCTATGCCTATTTTAGATCATTATCCTTGAGGATGATGGCTGTCTGCGTAAAATGTACATAGTTTCAATGCCAAGCATTTGTTTGGCTGTTTAACATATTATACTTACACATCTCTTTCATAGATGCCAGATGCCAGAACTTACTTACTTAGACCGGGTAGATGCTGAGACATCCAACTTACTCATGAGTGAAAGAGGCTAAGCCCTGTTAAATGTAGGCTGGGTAATAATAAGTCAAGCAGCTCAAGGAACCAATTCAGAACTTCTTTGAGATCATTTTAACATGTCAATGTATCATCATAGCCAATAGCAAACCATTATCTTGATTTTGAAGTTAAGAGATCAGACTAGTTAGGAGAAATTAATTTAAAACGTGGTGTCGGCAGCCTCATTAGTATTCAGATTCCCAAGTATGAGGTCCTTGTCACAGAGAAGGGGGTGGTGTGAATGATACATAAGTACCACACAAGCCCCAGTGGCAAGTCTTAAAAGGTATTATATACATTCTGTTTTTTTGTCATGCTGCTGCTACATGTCATCTCTGCTACAGACTATCATTACAGCTGGTCATGTAGATGGCATCAGTATGTTCCTCAATTTTGGAGCGATAGCATCATGAACATATTTATGAGCTTCCTTAAATGACAAGATCAAATCTAAAATTCACTTGCTGAATTTGAACTGCAAGCTAATGAGATAAATTTCCCTAAAGCCTGGTGTATCTGTTATGATCACCGCCACCAATGCCCATCCTGTGCAATAACACAAAATCCATCATTCTTTATTCTGTTGCCTTTCTTGGCAGTACCTCACTCTGATTCCAGCCACATTTTCCTCTGGGTAAAGAGATACTCCTGGAATACTCAGAGAACATGTAGTTTTGTCATGACCTGCTCTTTAGAGACTATCTTCATGGGAAAGAAGTCTACACTGAACACCAAGCTATCTAGAATAAATGGTTTGCACATCCTCTCATGCAGGTTCCTGCAGAGGAGTTACATGTCCAGTAGGAGGCGATGCCTAAGAAAAAGACCCACAGCTTTAATCCCACCCTTAGGTTTCCTCAGTAAAATTTCTTGAAAAGCAGATGATTACTCTGACTGGCCTCTTAACCTTTGCCACCGGTGTGGGAAGGTCATGGCCTATACACAAGAAATACTATATTACAGGCTCAGTGTGAACTGGGCCACTTTTCAAATAAATGCCTGTTGTCTCTAAGATTCACTTCCATATTTTTAGGTGTTCCATAGGTATCACGGGGGTAAATAGAGTCTACAAATGCCAAGGAGACAGCTGTTCAACCAGAAGTTGCAGAACTAATTCCACCACAAAATTATATGAAAAAGACTGCCAGTTCTTCCCTGATAAAGTTCAATCAGAAAAGGCATCCATAATGTTCATGCAAAGCATTGATTCTGTAAGTATGCCATCACTGTATCAAAGTGTGGTCTGACTTCATTCATTTTAGAGTTATGTTGATGTTTTAAGTGAAAGCAAGGCACTGTACATTGCTAGGCAAGCACTCTACCACCTGAGACGTAGCTGATCTCAAATATGACATGAGGGTTAAATACGTTAATGTGGAGTCCATTGAACATTGGTTGACACACAGTAAGTTCTCAACTACTATTATATATTGTTAATACTATTGTATATTAACAACTAGATAATCATTGTTAACTATTATAATGTTAAATCTACTTTAGTGTTAAATTATATTTCACTTGAGAATGCATATTGTTAAAATACATTTTTCTCCTCCTTCCTTCTTCTTTGTGTGTGTTGTTGCTGTTGTTGCTTTGTTTTTTAAGACAGGGTTTCTCTGTGTAGCTTTGGAGCCTGTCCTGGAACTCGCTCTCTAGACCAGACTGGCCTTGAACTCAGATTATCATCATGCCTCTGCCTCCTGAGTGCTGGGGCTAAAGGTGTGCGCCACCACCACCTGGCTCATTTTAGGGGAAATATACATACGTATGTATGTATGTATGTATGTATGTATGTATGTATGTATGTATGTATATAGTTGCAATTGAATCCTCCCAGCTAATCTCTTTTAAACCATTCCCAAGTTAATACCCTCTTTTACTTTGATTACTGTTGACACATACATAATCATGTATAAATGCATGTATGTTTCTGCACAAATATATTTAAATACAACCTGCTGGATCTGTTTTCTTTGGTGATGTGACCTGGAAGCCTGCTTCCTATGGTCTAGCTTCCACAGTTCCAGTGAACACCATGCAAGCTGCCAAGAGAGGGAAGCAATTACACAGTTCTCCAGCTGCAACATGTATGAATCATGACAATGGCCAGCATGGCAAGATACTCATGAAGGTGCAATAATGACACTCAGGTGTTGTCGATAACCAACAGCTATCTAATTGGATTTGAGTCATGCCTGGCACTGCCAATCTAAACAGCTGCCGGGGATAGTGAGATCATGAACCTTAGCAAAGAACCAACTCCAGCCACTTTGCTGGACCAGCAGAATTACTTTAATATTCCAACACTGCATATGCTTTCATTTTGTTTTTCAGACCTTTTTTTACGCATGGACTAGTAATTTTCAACATTTTACCACACTTATAGGTGACCGAATTCTGTAAAGATGAAAACCATAATCGAGAGGCTCCAAGTCTACACAATGAAAAGTGTGATTATAGAAGCACATGGGACGTAATTAGCAGTTCCGAGGATTTTAATAACAGCAAGCCCATGGAGACACCACCCTCTCCACCCGCCTTCTCGTTGCTGAGGATCAATGAAAGAATCGCGTGCCTGGTTCTTGATGTGTCTGGGAGTATGTCTGTAAGTTCATGACTCCATTTGACTCATGTTTTTATTTTGAATGTAGGAATAGGGGTAACCAAATGGCAAAAAAGAAAACAACAAAAAAGACCCACCCTAAACACTACTTGTATGATTTCAAAAAGTATTATTCTTTTCTGAGATAATGACCTTAAAGAGATTGAAAAAATATCATTAAAGAAGGATCTCTAAGAACAGCTAACCTAAGGGTTATCCATTTTGTGCCAGAAAATGTATAGCTGAATGAGAATAACTCTGATACCACTTAGTGAGGACAAGATATTGAAATGAAATTGTTTTCAGTCATGCATCTTCCACATAAAGAAAAGTGGGAATGGAGTATATTAGTGTCTGCCTAAACTCCGATTTAGCTCAAGCAACAGGACTAATCAGCAGAGTGTCTAACATGGTATCATCTTAACGAATGCTCAACTGTTCAGGAGCTCTCCTCAGACATAAAAAGGAAGCCGTCGCCATGAAGAACAAATGGCATCTCTTCATTCTATTGTCCAGCAGTGAACACAGGCCTTGTGCTAGACTTTGAAAACAGACATGTATGTGCTTGAGAACTTCATACTTCCTTTATGTTGAGCTGTGGAAGTGTGTTCCTATAACCCTGACATTTGGGAGATTAGGCAAGCTCAAAGCCGGTTGTGTTGCATAGTGGGAGCCTGTCTCGCAAACCCAAAAAAGCAGATATTTTTATAGTCTCTCCCCCTCACCATTACCTATTTGTCTAAGTCAATCATGTCTTCCAAAACTTAGGAGAGACACTCATTTCTGCCAGGAGAGTGGCTGGACTTGTGGGGTGCTTTCTAGATGCTAACTAACCCTTCTGCCAATTCTGAACACTGCCTTTTGCATATCTCTGCTTCTGTGTATTTTATTGATAGTCTCTGTTTCTCTCCTGATCAGATTAAGAGTTCCACTAGGAACCCAAATGTCATCCACACCAGAGTTCATAACCAATAGATAGCTGCTAAAGTGGATGTGAAGCCCAAATGAGCAGGTGTAATGTAATACAGCTGTCAGAATGGCTGCACCATTCTGACACGCTAAAGTAGAAACTAAAGCTTCAACAAGTGAGGGAACGTGGTATTGAAAGGACAAAGAATGATAGAGGTTGCTGAGGTGAACACGCGATTTTATGGAAGACAGAAGAACCAAGGCTCAGAACTACACACAAGTAGTCCAAGAAATGTCACCGAGAAGAGAGGGCATTGACGATTCAGAGATGAAGAGCATACCCCAGACAGGGTACTGGTAGACCCACGTCTAAAGGCAAAGTAGGGCTGGGGGATGCTCAACAGGTGAAAGTATTTGCCACACTAACCTAACAATATGAGTCCAATTACCAGGAGAGGATTGACTCCTCAGAATTATTTTCTGACCTCCACATGGATACCATGGGGCATGCTTGCACACACAGGCACACACAGACACGTACAGAGGCAAGAAAGATACATGCATGCATACATACATGCATACTAAATAATAATAACAAAGGCAGAAAACAAAACTCAGTGGCTAAATGCACTTGCAGCTAAGCCTAAAGACATGAGTTCAAACTCAGGAATTCAAATGATGAAAGGCAAAATCTGACTCACTGTAGATGTCCTCTAATCTCTACATTATGCCATGACATGTGTGTTGTGGCACAAGTATCCTTGGACACCACACAAAACGAATATAATAAAAATCAGGAGAGAACGAAGACAAGAACAACAGACAAGCAGGCAAAGCAAAGCTGTAGATAGGTAAGGGTTTTGTTGTGATTTAGTTAAAGAGGTTCACAAATCTGGGTATGGATTGCAGAGGGGATCTAGAGAAAACCAATGTATCAATGTATGGAGTGTACATCCTGGGCACTCATCTCATTAACGGAGACAGGATTGCTGGTGAGTTAGCAGAAAGCCGATGCAATCAGCCCACTGATGGAGAAGCCATGAGGAAAGGCTAGCAGAAGGGGCAGGGTAGGCTCGCCTTCTCCGAGTTAACTGGAGCTCAAGTAAGTTCTCCCTTTGAGGAGACTGCTCCATACTGAATCGGTCAGTTCAGCTGTGTTTGGAGACCAGGGGAGTCTGGTTGGAGTTTTTGAACCCTAGGTTATGAGTTTGTCTTCACAGGAGTGATTTGCATTGAATTGTACCACTGAGGTGGGAATCATTGCCTTAGTTTCAGTGCAAGCTCCACGTGAAACTTGGGTTCCTAGCAACTTGAAATTGCTCCTTCACGTGTGTCCCATATTACATTAACCACACTTTATACATTTACCAGTTTAAAAAAATCACAAGTGCTTTCCTCAATACTACAAATTAATGGGTGTAGAGACATTTTTTGCCATTAACTTCACACACTCCTTTTGTGAGGTCTGCCCTTATCTTCCACTTGAAAATCACTCTGGTTTTTTATTTTCTTATCCTTTTTTACTCAGGGTTATGATCGCCTCAATCGAATGAATCAAGCAGCACAATATTTTATAATGCAAATAATTGAAAATGGGTCCAGGGTAGGAATGGTACACTTTAATCTCCAGGCTGATATTAAAAGTCCGCTGATCCAAATAATCAATGAGACCCAGAGAAGCCAGCTTCTGAAAGCCTTGCCTTCGTATGCCACTGGAGGGACCTCCATCTGCTCTGGAATCCGAGCTGCATTTGAGGTGAAAATCTACAGCAAGTGTATTTTGTTCTTTGTTTTGCTTTTAGAGCATTTCTTTATGTAGTGCTATTGTAATTACCTGCCTCCTAATTTTGACATTATTAATCTTAAAAGGCTCAGGACAAAGTACACAGGGGGGGAAAACCAAACCTTTGATATATGTTATCTTAGCACTCGGGAGGTAGAGGTACAAAGATCAGAATTTCAAGATCATCTTTGACTATACCATCTGAGGATAGCATGGGAAACAGAAGAGACTGTCTCAAGTAAATGTAAATAAATATATAACCTCTAACTTCAACATGCTTAGAACATTAGCTACCATTCATTTAAGTATTCAAGAGCTCTCTAATTGTGGTGAGTCCATCACCAATTTTTGTTTTGTTTTTTGCTTTTTGAGACAGGATTTCTCTGGATAGCACTGGCTCTTCTCAAATTCACTTAGTAGACTAGGTTGTTCTCAAAGTCAGAGATCCACTTGCTTCCCACATTCCAGGATTAAAGGAAGGCAATATCACCACCTGGCAGAATCCATCACCTTTTAATGATAATGCTCAATGCATCTGGCTGTGTGTGCAACTGATTTGTATGCTGTAGGCTTGTCACGAGGCAGCAGGGGAAGAAACTGTAGCCCATATTTTGAGTATCTATTTGCCTGGGTTTTCTGGGTCAGATACCACTGTCATTTAAGTCATGTTTTCCCTAATACCTGATCCCACATATCTTTCATTTGAACAAATATCACCTGCACTGAGGAGACAGAAGAATAATACATGTATGTTCTCCAAGGACTATTGAGTGTAAATTCCATGATTCTAAAGTAGAAATTATCTCTTCTGTCCTACAATTCTTCTATAGTTTCTTTTTTTTTCTAATTTTTTCCATCAGGATAGATGACCTAGTAGAATAATGGTATTCTGGATTATGCTTACAGGTATTTAAAACTGGAGGTTTCCAAGCAGATGGTGCTGACATCATGCTGTTGTCTGATGGGGAGGACAGCACTGCAAAAGTCTGTATTGATGAGGTTAAAGAGAGTGGGTCCGTAGTTCATTTCATTGCCTTGGGACCATCGGCTGATAAAGCTGTAATAAACATGAGTGATCTAACAGGTGAGACTCAATCTCTTTATTACAGATTTTCAGTGCTGTGTATGAATGTGAACCAGTGTTTCACTACTTCTTCTAAACTCAGTTCTGCAAAGTCAGGCCAGGAATTGGAGAGCAAAAGCAAACAGACCCAACCTCTGTCCTCATCACCTCCTTCTCCAATGGGCTGGAAAAGACACATAAAATTGCCAGTCCAAGCACATGGACCACATTCCTTCATAGCAGCACAAACATAGGGTAAAGTTTAATTGAGACAGACAAGCCTTCTACGCACCCCAAATGTTGTAGAGGGGAAGGGAAAGGAGGTATATGAAATCCCACAACTTCCAAGCTGGGCCTTGAATGAAGTCTTGTTTGTTTGTTTTTTTCCGCAAACAAAAACCAATGTGAAATACAAAATTTCTTGATAAAAATTAACTATAGTAACTTATTTTAATATACAGATGTGATGAAACTGACTGCATACTTCTAGTGTCTTCATAAACATAGTAGAGAATGCAGAACCCATAATACTAGCATTGATCATTGATCATGCGGCTTTCATGGTACCAAATATATGTATGTATGTATGTATATATGTATGCTTTTGTGGCTGGCTATACAGATTCCTACAATTTCAAACTCTCTCATGGCCACTTATACAATTATGTTTGTCACAATTATCCAACCAATAACTGCTTTAACACTGCTTACCACTCCATTTCCACAGCTCCAGTTAGTGTCAAGATATCTCAAAATAGCAATTTTTTTCATCTTTCCAATTCTCTGCTTCTAATCTATTTTCTTCTAAAAACAGTCTAAATTATGTAAATAAAAGTTAATGATTCCTCTGAAGGACTGAGTTTAAACATGCAGAACTGTAGTACCTTCCATAGTCTATAACAAAATGATATACCTCATTCAACCAAGCTTTCTATACTATGGTAATAAATTAGCATGTATTAAATTAAATTAACATTTCAGAGACAGTCCTAATAGTTTTCTGACAATTTAATTTGATCTATATGGAAACTTTGACTTTATTTTCACTGTTACCTTGTTAATCATTAAAGTGTGATAAGTACACATGTTCTACAAAACAACATAGCTTATTCATTCATATTTTAGGAGGCATCCATTTATACTCTTCAGATCAAGCCCAGAACAATGGTCTTATTGATGCTTTTGGAGCCCTTGCTTCAGAAAATGCCGAAATCTCCCAGAAGTCGCTTCAGGTCAGCGTTTTCCCATCCCTAGAGGTTTTATGCTTGTTTCTTTTTTCTTTTCTTTTCTTTCTTTCTTTCTTTCTCTCTTTCTTTCTTTCTTTCTTTCTTTCTTTCTTTTTTGTCCCATAACCAAGAAAAGGCATAAGAGCAGAATACATGAAACCATGCAATGCAGAAAGGAGACATTTATGTATGACATACATTCAAAATGTTAGGTGTTGGCTTTTTTAATGTGTTGAAAGAGTAGAAACAAATTCTGTCTTTCTCACTTGAGATACTTGTGGTAAGTTCTTAAATCGAGAAAAAAACAAAATGATAAAGAAAGGTCATATTTTCATTTGAACATGTATGAACATGCATGATGGACAGAGATGATGTAGGTAAATAGCGACCAGTTGGAAGCATGGTACAATCACCTCAGTAGATGGGAATTTGGGGTTAGTGGTGGCACCTGGAATACAAAGGAAAACCTGCATCCACATTTATTTCTCCTAATGTGATGTGGGGCCAAGTGACCTTGTTCTCCAAGACTTTGCTGATGAAGAGACAAAATGAGTGGATGCCGTTCATGTTCATCCCTTCAAATCCATTTAGTTTTCCCAGATTAACCTGGGACTAAAATTTTAGACAACAGAGCCATGCTTTAAAGAATTTGCTATCAGAGCCGAAGCTGTTTAGGGTTGAGGTTTGGGGTGGAGAAGAAATGCTACGTTCTATTCTTCCTAAAATGGCACCCCCAGGAAACACCTATGTGGGTAAATATGGATAACCTAGGACTTCATGTTAGATAAAATAAACAGAGCACAGGAAGATGAAGAGTGTGGACTCATGTACACATGAAATAAAAAGTAGCCAAATTCATAGAAAAGAGTTCAAAGAAAAGCATAGTTAGCATCAACTGGTGAAATGTGAGGGTCAGAGAGATGTTAGGAAATAGATACAAACTTTCAATTAGATAATAAATAAGATCAGGAGATATATTATAGAAACATAATGACTACTATTACTAATAGCATGTATGTCATATTTGGGGCATTAGATTAGAAAGTGAATTTAAGTGTTTTCAATGTGTAGTGAGGAAATGTTTGTGTTAATTAGCTTAATTTGTACTGTTTCAAAACATTATGTTTACATGATAAACATGCAATTTTTTGACTTTAAAAATAATTTAATATTCAGTTGACTCTTGTTAGCTAAGACCTATCAACAAAGATGATCCACTCCTCATTGGCTCCTCTCAGAGAAGACCCTGGGTTTTGTTTTCTCTCTTCCCAGGAGTCTATCCTTCACAACCCATTTTTCCTGTTTTGGACAGACTCCACTTCCAACACTTCACTCTCAATCCTTTTGCAAAAAAAGTCACTTAAAGATGCCCATTAGCAATCTAGCCTAGAGTGCTTGTCTCAATCATCACTTATGTCTTCCTAGGGACTGAACCTAGAGCCTCCAATGTGTTAGACAAGTGTCCTATCACAACCCAGCCACTTACCTGTCTTTGTTTTTCTTTGGAAGCCTTTACTCTACCTCAATTAAACTACCTCATTACCCCAAGTGTTTCTTTCGGGTCATCATCCAGCTAGCTGAATAAGCATGTCACATATACACATAGCTTATACAATCATCTATGGTTTTTAGCATCCTTTAATGCCAAAAGTCAACATGAGCTTTTCCCCAGAAAACTAAGAACAAATAGCAGGGTCACAGGCTTAACTCTTCAACTGATGTTTTCACTTTAAATCTCCTCTTATACACTCTGCTCTTTGTTCAGCCCTTGTATTTCCAACCTTACAACTGTCACATTGCAATAAGCCCTAGAAAGGGTGCAAATCTGTTGGTAGGAAGAGGCAGGAAGATTGCTAGGAGTTTAAATCCACCCTGGAGTACATAGGGAGACCAGGCTAACCCTGGCTACATAAGAACCCTTTATGAGAGAGAGAGAGAGAGAGAGAGAGAGAGAGAGAGAGAGAGCTCAGCATATGTGAGACTGTTTCCAGATCAATATCTGTAGAAGACAAAAGAATAAAACTATTTTCTTCTGTAATCATTAAGTTTTGCGATTGTTGTTTGTATGTTTTACATTTAAACAGCTTGAAAGCAAGGGAGTCATATTGAACAACAGCAATCTCTGGCTGAATGACACTGTAGTAATTGACAGCACAGTGGGAAAGGACACATTCTTTCTTGTCACCTGGAAGACAACAGCTCCTGGCATTTCTCTATGGGATCCAAAAGGGACACAAATCACAAATTTCACAATGAAAGTGGATTCCAAAATGGCCTATTTCAGTGTCCCAGGAACAGCTCAGGTAAGCCACTAGCTTTTCAATTTTCCCTGAACAAGTATTTTTTCCAAAGAGTCTCTAAAGTCATTACGAATGTGAGTGCCAACAATTTTACCATCTTCAAAATGAAAGTAAAATTTATATACTTTCATTACCTGTGTGACCCTGAAAGCTATGATGTCTGGGTAAAGGTAAAAAGAATTCGTGGCTTGAAAGAAAAGAGTAATGGCGTCTGAGAACACTAAGGAAGAAGCATAGAGCCTGTGTGACTTAGTGCTCCATCTTTTCCCATTGCTCCTCTGAGCTGGGCTCCCTGCCTGAACTCTCTCAGCTTCAATAAATGAAGAATTCATAGCTTTTTAAAACCACAAAACTCCTATGGTCTATTTCAAAATCACATAATGGAAAAACATGAGGGTTGGACTCTGAATGCTTACTGCATGTTTCCATTGAAAATTTTAGGTGGGCACTTGGACTTATAACCTTGAAGCCAAAGCAAACCAAGAAATACTAACAATTACAGTAAACTCCCGGGCAGCAAATTCTTCTGTGCCACCAATCACTGTAAATGCTAAAATGAACAGAGACACCAGCAGCTTCCCCAGCCCTATGATCGTTTACGCAGAAGTCCTGCAAGGGTACACGCCCATCATCGGAGCCCACGTGACAGCCATCATAGAATCAAACAGTGGAAAGACAACAGAGCTGGAGCTCCTGGATAATGGTGCAGGTAAGCCACAGCCTTCATGGATAAGCCTACATGTTTATGGTTGCAAATGTGTCATGGTTCCTGAGGCAGTGGGCACAACAAGATGGGAGCATGAGGAATTAAGACAGAGAGATCCCAAAGGAATAGCAAGACCAGCAGGAAATTCAATCAGTGCTTAGCAAGCATCTTGCACATGGTGAGCATTCAACAAATGCCATCTACTGCCAAAATCAGGTTCATAATCTTGACAGGCACCGCCTGTGTCCAGCTCAGATGGGCTCATTTAGAACGCTGAGCGCACAAGCAAAAAAAAAAATCTACGTATGTGCTTCTCAGGAGAGCAGCTCCATGAAAGTGTGGCCAAAGGAGGTGATGCACAAATGACTGGGTGGGTACCGAACCTGGCACCCTGGCAGGGAAAGGAAGAGAAGCAAGATTGAGTACCCACAGCTGACACACGACAAATAGAGTCCTGAGAGCCAGGACTCAGGAGAAGGTAGAGGTGCCACAGAGAGGAAGAGCCCACACCGCAGCATCAGATGCCAGGTCACATTGGCAGGAAGCTAGAGCTGTGCTGGCTATTTTCTGTTCCCCAGTCTATAGGGTGAGTGAGCTGGGCATAAAACTCTCTAACTGCACTCTGACTGGTTCTGTGAGTGGAACCTTGTGTTGAAGTCAGTGAATGAAATAACACGAGTTAATAAAGACTGTCTATCCGTGCACTTTGCAATGCCATTTTACAATTTTGTCTTTAGCTATATTTGACTGTTCTTGGGCTGGGGTGGGGGGGGTCCTCTTACTTTCTAGGCCTGTTGGCCACCAGATCAAGAGGGTAAGAGTAAGTAGTAGCTTTGTTAAAAAAAAAAAAAAAAAAAAAAAAAAAAAAAAAAAAGCTTTGAATGTGGCCCAGGAGCATGAACAAGGGACAGACTTCAGTGAATCAGCACAACTTTATTCCAGGGCATAAGGAATGTATAGGATTGGGGAGCCTGGGAACAATCCCTCCTTTGCATTAAGTGGAACGGTCCTATCATAAGGCTCCTAGCACAAGTCTCAGTTATCATGTGTGCAGCAAGGGAGCCTTCTAGCAGGGATCTATTTCAGGGCTCAAGCTAAAGATGTCAGGCATCTGGTTTAGAGACAGCCTCCAAGCCCAGGGACATTCTCCAGATAAGGGCACATAGAGGCCAAAGGTTCTGCTGGAGGGAGGGATCCCCATGTTGCAGAGGTATTGAGATAAGCTGCCAGGCCACCAAGAGACTGGGATCTCTGCCAGCCAGCACTGCCCCCCAACCTTCTTGGATTGGCTCCCATGTTTTTTAATGACAATGATAATTCCACAACTAACCCCTGCCTCTTTACAGTTCCACAAACACACCTACACTGTGTATAACGTCCTGTTTCTTGATTCATTTATTGGCATTTTACCAGATAAACATTTAGTTCATTGGTAAATTAGCTAATCTGAAGTGCCTTTACTGGAAAAACAAAAACAATACTTTGACAAGGCATCATCACATTTTTTTATACAGAGGAATCATCTGGAGGACTTGCTAAAAAGAGAAGTTTTTAGCAGAGGCACTTTTCCTTAGGTAGTCCAGGAAATTTGCATGTCTAAAATTCCCCACACTTCTAGAGCAATACAGATACTGCTGATTCAAGGACTTTTGTTAAGAATATGGTGTGAGGTGGGACCTTTAGCAGGTCCCACCACGGGTGAGGGACAAACGGTGGGTGGGAGACAGAGACCTGTAGATGTCACTTATGTGGAAGGTTTATTAGGGGAAGATAAGAGAAAAAGGAAAGGGAAGAGAGAGAGAGAGAGAGATACTCAGAGACAGAAAGGGAGAGACAGAGATGCAGACAGCAGCTTCCTCCGAGAAGAGAGAGAAAAGGAAAGTGGGTGGAGTTTTCCTCTTAAAAGAAATGTTTGCACCTGTGTGTGGACTACCTAGTGACATAACATCCATAGGACCCTGGGCTGGCCAGGGTACTGCCTGAGTGCATCCTGCCAGATGACAGTGGGCAAGCCAGCAGAATGCCTGAATCCTAACAACCTTATTTTCTCATCTTCTGATTCTAATCAGAAGTAGATTTTGTAACTTATCAGGTTGACTCCAATGCCTGTGATTTCAAGAGTGCACTTACGACAGAGCATTCCTGAGATCCTCCAAGTATTTATTCCCTTAGTAAAATGGTTTTCCTCTGTTGGACTAGAGAAATAATTGAATGAGAGAACACAAACATTGAATGGAAAGAAAGAAACAGAAGTCATTGATTATGAAGCAAAATAAGTAAATTTAGTTGTCTGTGCTGAATGAGGATTATTAAATCTTGTGTAAAGATGCATTTACCATACCAGGAATCTCTCTCTCTTTTTCTCTTTCTCTCTCTCTCTTCTCTCTCTCTCTCTCACACACAAAATAAGAGTAAGCAAAACAAACAAATAAATAAAAGATTAAGCAAACCAAAAGTCAATCAATTGGCAGAGAGATTGAAGAAGAGTTTCATGACTTCTGTGTAAGATGATAGGGCACAGAAAGGTGTTAAAGTATTTATTGTATACTTTATTGGGTAAGTGTACTATGTGAATGCAGATGTTTCATCCCAAAGAGACACAAGGGTGTACAATTCGATGATGTATTATTTTGTCAGAATGTGAGGGAAATATATTCCATTCAAATGTGAAATAGTAAGTATAGGTAGAGAATACGCCTATAGATACACTCCTACTCCTCATTTGTTACAAGGATTGCAATTTATTTATCTCCATCTTTAACAAGGGGCTGATGCTTTCAAGGATGATGGCGTCTACTCCAGGTACTTCACAGCTTATTCAGAAAATGGTAGATACAGCTTAAAAGTACGGGCTGATGGAGGAGCAAATTCTGCCAGGAGAAGATTACAGCATCCATCCAGTAGGGCTGCCTACATACCTGGCTGGGTAGTGGATGGTGAGTAGCTCACAGTATCATAAACCCAGGGACCAATATTTGTGATTTGATATGATGGAGATTCCAACATTTTCCAATTTAATATATAACTTCCCCAATTTCTAGAATGAGGTCTTTATATAGTTCTAAGTTAGCCCAAGCTAAGCCCGGCATCCACTAGACACTGAAAACCTACCTTAGTGTGCAATGCCTTTACATTGTCAAAAATAATGTGTTAACCTTTCAGCTCAGGACAAAGGAAACAGCCCACTGTGCTCTGAGCACAAGTGCATGGCATTGGGAGAATCTGACCTCTGGGTTACAGAGCTTCGATGTTTTAAGCTTTCCTTTCCTTGCTCTTATCATGTGACTTTGGGGGTCTTTTTAAAGCAATGTCGTAAGACAAGATCATTATCCCTTATGACCTTCAGCATAGAGGGAAGGATGTCATCTGAGTGCCAAGGAAAAAACTGGCATTGATTTCTCCAGACAAGTTCCTAATCAGAAGTAACTTGAGAAATAAAGCAATACTTTTCTTAAGGCATATGTTATCAAAGAATAGTGACACACTATACTTCCAATTTTAAACACAGGCAAAATTGAAGGGAACCCACCCAGACCTGAAACAACTGAGGATACTCAGCCAGTCCTGGAGAATTTCAGAAGAACAGCAGCTGGAGCTGCATTTGTGGTATCCAATGTTCCACTTGGTCCACTGACTGACCAGTACCCTCCAAGTCAAATCACAGACCTTCAGGCCATACTTGATGGGGAAGAGATCAGTCTAACATGGACAGCACCAGGAGATGATTTCGATGTTGGAAAAGGTAAGAATCATATGGGTTTTGACTTAAGTGAGAGATGCCCGATGTCAGGCAATAGTGGATGAGTCAGTTAGAAGAGAGTCATTTTTAACTGAGAACTCAGCCAAATAAGAATTTTACGAGCTGATATTTTATATTTTATCAAACAGGTCTTGCTTTTCATGCAAAGACAGTAACACTTAACAGTGTTGAAAAGTCAGAACGCAGTTTTTTAAATAAATAAGAGTCTTGATGTTAACATTTGATGTAAACATTTTTGAGAATAGCTAGACAGAAATTTAATATGGTATGATGCAGCAACTAACCCACACATAACATTTTCCTTAGCTCAACAGTACATCTTAAGAATAAGTGAAAACGTCACTGACCTAAGGGATAATTTTGACGGGGCTCTTCAAGTAAATACGACTAACCTGCTACCAAAGGAAGCCAACTCCAAGGAAAGCTTTGCCTTTAAACCAGAAAACATCTCAGAAGAAAATGCAACCTACATATTCATTGCCATTAAAAGTGTCGACAAAAGCAATTTGAGTTCGAAACTGTCCAACATTGCACAAGTGGCACTATTCACCCAAGCAGAGACTGGTTCTGGCGAAAGTCCGCACTCTGGAGTTAGCATTTCCACTATTGTGCTGTCTGTGGTGGGCTCTGTTGTACTTGTTTGTATCATTGCAAGTGCCACGATTTGTATCTTAAAGAACAGGAGGTCCTCATCAAAAGCTGTAACAACATTTTGAAAAGCATCATGAATAAAAAGATATTTCTGCATTTTTAAGTAGATCGCATGTGATCATGAACTCAAAAATCATCTCAAGAGGGTTTCAAAGAATGTTTCAGCACATCCATTCATGAAAAACTACCAACATTAATATTTATAATTTTATTCATTTAACACAAGCAATGATTAAAAAACTATTTTTATATTGATCTATAGTCCTGTTTTTTGTTTGTTTGTTTGTTTTGTTTTGATTTTCTGATGTCAAAGTTTTCCAAAATGATACTTCAAATTTCCTGGAGAAACTAAAAGTGTCTATTTAAGTAGCCAAGATGAAATAAAAAAGAACAAATCGGTTAAGGAGAGAAAGAGAGTAGGTTGAGAAGAGTAGATATGCATCACAGCAAGTATTTATAATTCTCTGATGAGACCACATTAATACAAAGATGCTTTATTTCATGTAACAACAAATGCTGGTAAGGATGTGAAGAAAGAGACATCCTTACTTGTAGTTGGTGGGAATGGAAATTGGTGAGTTCAAAGCAAGGAATACCACATGACCCAGCTGATTCTCTCCTGGGTATACACACAAAAGCATCTAGTTCCCATTACAGAGACACCTGTACATCCATATTTACTCACAATGGCTAAGGAATGGAACACCCTAGACAGCCATCAAAATGAGCCCACAAGGAAAACATGACACACATGATGCACATAGAATTTTAAAAACCACTCATAAAGAGAAATGGAACCATGACATGTGCAGAAGAATGGACAGAACTGGAAAATATCATCTAAGCAAAGTGTTCCAGAGCAAAGTGTCTCCTGTTTTTTTTTCCTCAAATGTCAATTCTATGTTTATGTGTGTGTATGTATGTGTGTTCCTATAATAGTTCTTGCCTCTTCAAAATAAACTTCTCTGAACTGTAGACTCTCTACTAGTCTGTGCTGTGTTTCAATAAAGTAATTGAAAAGATGATGCATACATGTATTTTCTGTTTACATACTCTTCTTTCTTTATTAAAATCAATCCCAGTAAAGTTGTTAACTATTGTAGGATAGCTTTCTGTACACTGTGAAGATGTGCCCCTGCCAAGGCACCTTCTGATTTGTATCGTGGTTTAATAAGGGTCAGGAGAAACAAATGGGCCAAATAGATGTTTATTCAGGGAGAAATAACTTACAACCTAGAAAGATGAACACCAGCAGGTTTCTCCTGATCCTCTCCTGTCTGTGTCCCACCAAAGAGAACTCTCCCGAGCTCCTCCTCAGACCTAGTTTCCCAGGTCACTTCCAGCCCTGACTCCATCGCCAATGGCATGGTCAGTGCCACAGATGCAGACAAAGTGAATATCTCACAATTCCCCTTTTAGTCTAAAGAAGAGATTTAGGCTTTATATAAAACTATATACAAACAGTGAATAACAAGTGTGCTCTAAGAAAAGGAAAGTTGTGAACATACAAACTTAAGACCTACATATCTGGTCCTAGGGTGAAGGCATAACAGAGTTTACAATAGAGTTTTCCTAAGCTGGAAAGTTTAAGTCTAGTACCTAATATATCTAATTAGAAAGAGAGAATAATAGATGTGATAGTTCAACCTCATCAAAGACCTGAGAAGAAAAATGATTCTAGGGTAGACAGGAAGTGCAGATGTGCAACTTCCAAAAGGTGCAGCAAGGACAGAAACAGCAGGCTACCTGGACAATCACCCAAGGTCTCACAACAATGTTGGTACACCCAGTTTTGGCTAAGGCCAAGAGTACTTGACAGACCACAACAACAGCAGGGAGGTAGAAAGTCTATCTCACCCTGGCTTGGCAGGGTTCAGCAGTCTTCTATGTTTGTCTCCTGCAAGCACATAGGACCACACATCCAAATCAGTGGTCTAGGTAGGAGCAGTTCTTTGCCCAAGAGGCCATTAGCCAAAGTGAGGATGGACTTCAAAAGGAGCAACAACAGTATCCAAAATATTTTCAGGAAAATGCATGGTGCTGTCAGGAGCAATAGTGTCTCATGTCAACGAAGTACTAATATTAAAACATTTAAATTCCGTGTTATGCAGGTCTATGAAGTGATTGAAGATTATGCAACTATGTCTGACTAATCTCATGGGTATAAGAAACATGGGTGAAGAATCTGTAATACTCAGGAACTTAGCTAAAAAAAGAAAACTGATTGAAACATCCCTGAGTAAAGCAAAAACAAAAACCTAAGCAATATAACTATGTACTTAAATATACATGTAAATCCCTAAAACAGAGGTAGAGTAGAAATGTCTTGACCAGAGGTAGAACTATAAAGGGCAGCATGATAAAAATATCCTAAATTGTATCAATATACAAAATGCCTTGAACATAAGTAAAAGTATACATACATAGAATATGGTAAGGATAATGTGCATAATACATCATAAATGGAAAGATTTTACACAATATGACAAAATATAATATACAATTCTTCCCAGGAGGAAATATAAACTTAATTTTACCACATATAAGAATATATAACAATGTAATCTGTATAATACTAATATCTCACTGTTACTAAAATAATCCACAAGAAGATAGGCTATTCTACCTATATCCTATCTAAACCATGCTTTTCCCAACCATAGCCTATCCCTGTCTAAAAGAGATACCTGAGTCTAAGCATTTTAAGACCCTCAGAATGAGGAGTCTTCCAGGTTCGGTCGATACCCCAAGAACTCAATGTCCAGTCCAGTTGCTGCAAAACGCAAGAGGCTTTAATAAACAGGAAACGTTTGCGCAAACGGCTCCTCCAGCACACAGGCTAGGGAGAAGCCCCCTCCCCCGGGCACAGGTGTTTTTAAAGTCAACCCCACAAGCTTAGGGAGGGGGTGGGACCCTCTGTCCATTGAGTACGTGACCCTTGGGCCGGATGGTCTGCTATTAGGGTCAGCAGACCTTAGGGCCTCAGGTGTGCTAATTAATCTTGTCTGGGCAAACCAGAGTTACAGCTATCTCTTGACCCTATTTACCACCTGCTGACTCACAGGAAAGGAGGGGCAGTGTGAATTCTTCTCAGGGCCTTGTGAGAGGAAGCTAGCAAATTCCAAGGAACAGATATTGGTTTCTAGGTTAGTCCATCATTAACATTACTTTTTAGGTCTTTCAGCATCACCTTCCATACCCAACCCTAAGTAACTAAAACCAACCCTAAGAAGATGAATATTATCCCTAAATGCCAAGAGTAGGGAAAGGGGGTGTCATTATCTTAAGATTACTTCCTGCTGAAATGGGACAATGATTGCTGGCACGGGATCCCGTAGGAAGAAAATTTTTAGCAACCAAATTTCTCGATAGGACTGGCTATGATATATGTAGCTAGTCACTGTGTGGCAGAAAATGGTTGACTGGAGTTCTATCTGAAATTCTTGCCAGGGTGTAATAAGAAGGTGCACCATTACAGTACCTCGTCAGGAGTTGTCTCTAGCAAAACAGTCTCAAACCAGTTTTAGGGTGATGTTTGTAGTCCAGATGCATCAGGTTGAGTCAAGTGGAAACGATGACGTGGGGTCCCATCTTCTTTCCGGAGAGTTCAAAGATTGCTGTTAGGAATTGTTATTATTCCTTATAGAAAACTTAAACATCAATATTAAAGTAAAATTTTCAAGTTTTAAGGTATGTTAGGGAAAGGCAACAATAAGCCTTAAAATGTATATGAGAAAATTAGGAATTCAGAGAGAAAATTGGTATAAGCAAACGAGTCCCCAGATTTTGTTTTTTTTCTGTGTGACACCAATTGGCTTCTTGATATAAGGCAGAAACTGTGAATTTAATCTTAACAACATGCTTGAATTTAGAGAAGGAAAGCCAAATCCAACTCCAAAGCCAGCATTGGTTTGCATGAATTGCTACTACAGGAATACTAGATAGTAAAGAGAAGTAGATTTCTATATAGAAATAGTTTACTATAATTGTATTTTTACCATTAATCAGATTCCTCTTTATTAAGTGATTCTTTCTGGAGAGCTATCTTCTCTTCTGTAGGTACCTACATGTTCAGTGTCTTTTGGCTGTTTGAAGATGGGTGGTCTCTGTTTTCCTGTATGGACAAGAACAGTACACTTCCCCTACCTTTGAGAGGTTTCCGCACATCTGATGGGAACCAATTTATTGGATGACTTGTCATTTCTCTTCATTAAGATGTTTCTCTTGTTCAACTCAGATCTTGATCAACGTAGATGGTATCCATAGTTTTTCTTCTCCTATAGATACAAATGTGAAACCCCTACCCCAATGTAACACATATCCTGGTTTCCATACCGAAGTCAATACAACCTTAAAGTATACCGGTTGATTTAGTTTAGAAGTTTTTTTCTATTTTCCAGTGTCTTTCTGCAGCTGTTTTTCCTTTTTCAACAGCATTAAGAAAGTTTAATGTTAATAAATCATTATATAATCTGTGTTTGGGTGTCTTGGTACCTCCTGTCTGTTTATGGAGGATTTCCTTTAAAGTATGATTGGATCTCTCAACCACTGCCTGTCCTGTAGGATTGTGTGGTATACCAGTTATGTGCTTTATGTTATAATACTCAAAAACTGTTTCAATTTGCTGAAAATATATGCTGGAGCATTGTCAGTTTTTATTTGTGTAGGTATGCCCATAATGGCCATTACCTCTAATGGGAGTGTGATCACAGAATCAGCCTTTTCAGAGCTCAGAGCAGTTGCCCATTGAACCCTGAAAATGTATCTATAGTGTGATGTATATTAATTTTCCAAATTCTGCAAAATGAAACACATCCATTTGCCATATTTCATTCCTATTTATACCTTTAGGGTAAAGGACTTTGGTTATAGAATGAGCAAGAAGGACATTTCTTTGCTATTTCCTTAGCTTGTGGCCAAGTGATAGAAAATTCCTTTTTAAACCTTTGCTGTTCACATGGTATTTCTTATGAAACTCCCAGGCTTCTAGCACACTTCCTATTAATAACCGATCAATTTCATCAAGGTCTCCTTCTATCATCCCCCTTTTCCATATTCCACAGTCACCTGGAAAATCATGCCCATTTTTGTGTCTTAATGTAA